GGTTTGAGCACAGCCTCTGGAGGCCAATGTTGGGGTTCAAATCTCAGCTACTAATCAGTTATGTACAGTTGGCAAATTCTTAACCTGTCTGACTCTCATTCCTTCTCTGTGAAAGGAAAGGATAGGACAGCACATACCTAACAGGGTTTTGAGAAATGAAAAGAGTGAATTATTTTTAAGCCACTCAGTTGTTCATCTGAGACTCAGTTTCCCTGTCTGTAAAATGGGGGTGATGCTAGCACTCACCTAGTAGAGTTGTGAAAGATTATATGAGTGATTCTTTTTTAAGCCCTCAAAACCAGGCATGACAACAAAAAGTGCCACTTGAGTGTTTATTAAAAACACTGTTTGATCGATGTCTGCCTCCTCGACTTGGGGATGAGCACCAGTGGGGCAGGGTGGGGGCTGGGTCTGGTTTTACTCTCCCTGGTATCTCCAGGCCTGATGCATGATAGACACTCACGCATTTGAATGAATGAGTGTGCTCTGCTGTGCCCTCTTATGCCAGGATGTTTCTCTCTGTTGGAAGTCATTCATACTTTAGTATGAAGTATGAATTAATGCCACCTGTTCCTTTGGCCAATATAATCACCATGGAAAAAGTCCTGCCCCTCTGGGGGAAGGAATGTGAAGTCTCAGTGATAAGAGTGGGGAAATTAATGGAGGTAGAGAAGGAGGATATCTTCCCAGGCTCTGTACCTATAAGCCACGTACCCTGCCTCCTTAGATTGAGGTAGTGAGGCATCTAAGCACTTGAGCCCTCTGTGTTTTTAAAGACATCATTCTCCTCCCTTTTCAGAGAGGGAGAAGCCTTTGGCAGGCAGCAGCTATCAGCCCCCCGCAGGCGGGCCTCCCAGCAGGATCCTTGGAGCAGGGATGAGTGGGCTTGCCAGCTCCAAGTCCTTCCCAGAGGAAAACTCTCCCACAGATCTGTGGGAAGTCACATTGATGGGCTGGCGTCCCCAAGAGGACAGCCCACTAAGCTGGGATCCAGTCAGAGTGGCAGAGCCCAGCAACTAGAAGGGCCTCTGCCCCTTGGAACACACAGTTCTGAGGCCTGGCAGGAGCCCGGGGAGGGGTGCTGGCCCTGACACTGTGACAGGACCCAGGCCCTGGCCGGCAGCCTCCAGCCCCAGTGGGGACGTTCAGCCTGGCTGTCGGGCGGAGAGCCTGCTCGGAGCTGATCAAAGGGAAGCGCCTGGTTTCCCGGGCAGATTTTTTCGTGTTTATTTCTCCTCTTGGAGCGTTTCTGCCTTCTGCAAGGAACCCCTAGTACTCAGGGAGCACAGCCCCTCTTGTCTGGAAGACTTGGGAGGGTCATTCTGTAAATCAACATTCGCAGAAAATTAAGTGCCAGGTCCCAGCTCCTCACCCTGGGTCCCTGTGGTCTGAACGCCACTGTGGAATTATCAATCAAAGAACACTGAGTGCTTCATGTGTACCAAGCCCTGTGCAGGGTACTGAGGACAGCACTCTCGAGTTCAGTCCTTAGCTGGGACTTTGGAAGATTCACCTACATTTTGTGATCAGCCATCCCTTTGTCTGGAGAACAGTCCTTTCAAGGTCGTGATGATTAAATTTATTCTGTGTGTTGGGCCAGTACTTGGGGTGCTGATACAGCGAGGCCCTGTGGAAGGGACTCAGGCAATAAGAGACACAGAGGCTTTGCCTAGTAGAGCCTGTATTCCCCTGGGGAGTGCATGAGCTTCCTCTTTCCAGTGTAACAAATGACCACAAACTTAGCAGCTTAAAACAATACCCATGTATTATTTTACTAGGTTAGAAATCCAACTTGGGTCTCACCGGGCTAGACTCAAGATTAGGGCTGTGTTCCCTCTGAGGCTCTAGGAGAGAGCGTTCCCTCACCTTTTCCAACTTCTAGAGCCTGTCTGCACTCCTTGGTCCCTTCTTCTGTCTCCAAAACGGCATGGCATCTTCAAATCGACCTCCCCCTCTCCTCCTTTCCTCCGCTTTCATCATCCCATTGGCTTCTCTGATCCTGTCCCCTCTGTCTCTCTCTTGTAAGGACCCTTGTGATGACATTGGTCCCACCTGGTCAATCCAGGATCATCTCCCCATCTCAAAATCTCTGATTTAATTAAGTCCCTTTTGCTACCTAAGGCCATGGGGTTAGAATGTGGGCATCTTTTAAGGGGCTGGGATTCTGTCTGCCACAGGGAGAGGGAGGATCAATGACAAACATAAGTAAATTTCATGATCTGTTGGAAGGTGATGAAGCTGTGAAGAAGCAAAACAAGATAAAAAGGGTGAGCGGGCGGCTCCTGTGGCTCAAGAGCGTAGGGTGCCAGCTCCATATGCCAGAGGTGGCGGGTGGTTCAAACCCAGCTCCGGCCAAAAACTGCAAAAAAAAAAAAAAAGGTGAGGAACTTGGGATGGATAAAATAAGAAAATAAGAAGGTTATGATTTTAAAAGCATGGTTGAGGGAAACCTCATGGAGAAAGTGAAATGGGAACATAGACTGGAAAGAACTGAGGGGACAAGCTAAGCAGATATCCAGGGAGAGAGCACAGACTGAGGCACGGCCAGTGCAAAGGCCCTGGGGTAGGAGTCGTCAAGGAGAGCAGAGTGAGTAAGATGAAGAGACACCGGAGGTGGTCATCCGAAGAGCCCAGCACCGTGCCTGGGACATAGTAAATGATCAACAAAGGAGGTTCCTATTCACTTTCTGGCAAGAGATGCAGAGATGGACAGTATGCAGCTCGGTCGTCACCCATGACGAGGGCCTGCCGTGTTGGACAGCACAGAGTGATGGGCAGTTGAGCCATCCAGCAGGTGGGTAAACAGTGTTAAGTGCAGTTCACTCATTTCACTGTGTTTACAGAGCACCTGCCTTGTGCCAGGCACTGCTGTAGGGGCTAGTGACTCCAAAGTAAACAAACAGACCTTCCAAAAGTGGCCCATATAAAGCTGGTATCCTGATGTGGAAAGATAGACATTAAAAGAACAAAATAAGTTAATCAGAGGTTGATCAGTATGAAGAAGCATAAAGCCAGGAGGGCATCGGGAGTCCCACAGGTAGAGGAATTATGGTTTTAAATCCTGGGGTCAGAAAAGACCACATGGAGAAAGCAACCTCTGAGCAACAGTCTTGAGGGGGTGATGGGTGAGTGGTGCAGTTTGGGGGTAGAAGGGCACTGCAAGGGCACAGGTGTGGGGGGTCTGGAAGGACCAGCAAGGAGGCTTAGGGAGGTCATCTGGAGTGTCATCTACCCAGAGGGAGGGGAGTTGGTGCTCTTGGCAGAAATGGGGCCACCCAGGGAGGGAGAGACCAGGAAATGGGCCAAGAGTATAACATTGACATGGACAGGAAACGCCTACGTTTTAAGGAGAAGGCAGAAGAGACAGAGGATGAGCAGGAAGCAAGTGGGCGGTGCTGCCCGCCTTAGGAGAGCCCAGGACTGTCCTCCAAGCAGCAGGAGAGTTCATGATGGGGGCCTGGGGAGGGGTGGCGAGCTCCTGGGGTGCAGGGTGAGGATAGATCAGGACACTCTCCCAACAGCAAGTCCATTCTAGCCCCAGATCCTCATGTAGCCACAGTGGGGCCTCATGGCAAACCCACAGGGTAGGCAATAGCTCCACACCCCTTTTTAAGGATGAGGAAAGAGGCATGGGGTAGGGGGTGGTGCAACCTGTTCCCAGTGATCCCAGTGAGTGGTGACCAGCTCCCCCAACTGTGTCAATGTGAATAAGCAACCTTGGCAGTGTGGAGGGGGGATGGAGGCTATACCCCAAAGAGCTCAAAGAGAAGAGCAACGGCAGCACCCTGCACTGGGCTCCTGGAAGGGCTCAGCTGATATTTTCAGGGTGCAGGAATGAAGGAATATTCTAGAATCTAGGGTACGGTAAGGCAAGTGAGGCATCAAACTTCAGGGGTGCTTGCTCTCAGCGTTGCTGAGGTGCGCTTATGTCACTCTGAAGAGGAGGCCTCTGTTGGGTTTGCCCTGCTCTCCGGCGAGCGTCCTGGCCTCTCTGCGCATCTGTGAGACACACACACATTAAACGGCGGGGAGGGCTTCACACCGCAGCACACCCAGACTGGGTGTGTTTACTGCCATCATCAATCACCAAAAGGCTGAGAAAGGGCTCAATGATTCTGCCCACCCCTGGCCAGCGGGTGGGAGGTCAGCGTCCCCAGGAAGGCAGGAACAACCTTTACAGAGCACTTGCTCTGTGCCACCGCCATGCCCTGTTGCCCCACCAGGACCTTGTGGAAAGTGCTTCCACACACCCATTTCACAGATGAGAAAGCTGAGAAGCAGAGGGCAGAAGATGCTTTCCAGCACCTCTCAGAGACTGAGCCTGGACTTAGCCCAGGTATGTCTGTGCCTAGGGCTTGGGTCCCTTGCACCTCCCCTGGGGTGGTCCCCAGAGGTCAGATGGACCTGGATTCCAGGCTCCCCTCTGCTGCTGCTGCACAACCCATGGCCGGGTCATACCTCTGCCTCCTCATCTGCGAAATGGGTGTGGAAACACATCTCCCTGTGTCTTGGATGTGCTGAGAACAGGAATGGAATACAAAATCTGTGAAATGTCAGTCCTGTATAAAACACACACACACACATTAGTCAACTACTTACACATACATGATACATGTCAAATGCTCCACGTGCAGTTTCCCTTAAAAAGCACCAAAAACAAGGGCTGTCGGAACTCTCCCCACGCCGGTCAGAGAGGAGGAAACCAGGGTGCGGGGGCTGGAGTCAGTCACTTTTCCACCGCGGCAGCACCCTCGGCCAGTGCTGTCTACCCAGCTCAAAACTTGGACGGGGAGCAGCCAGGTCCCCACCCTCTGCCCCAGCCCGCAGCGGGCGCCGTTCCTGGAGGGGGACCCAGTCTGCAAGGAAGTGCAGAGACAGGGCCACTCCCGTCCACGTCTCCAGGCGAGCTGGTGCCCCCTCCTCCTGCCGCCAGCCGCCAGCGGCGGAGCTGCCTGGGCTGCAGACGCCCTGGTGGAGATCTCAGGGGCAGATGTTATAGGGCAAGCTAAAAATAACCTGGCAGGCAGGCCACCGGCGCGGAGGGGGCATGTGCTGGGCGTGGACACTCGATCCGAGGGACCCAGCTGAGTGGAGCTGAGACAATTCGGCGGACCGTGCACACTTCGGTTCCCACTGCTGCCCCACTACCAGAGGGGTCCCTTGGCCCGGTGCCTGGAGGTCGCTCCCCATGGAGGAAATGCCTTTCGCCAGCCTGGGGAGGGGCAGCCGCCGAGGAAGGAAGGTCGTCTGGGCTCTGAGCTTCCTGCTACTTCTCCTGGAAGCCAGTTCTGCCAAGAATGTCTGGAAACGGGCATTGCCTGCGAGGCTGGCCGAGAAATCCCGAGTAAGTGCGGGGTCGGGAGGCTGGGCAGCCTCTGCTGCTGGAGCAGAGAAGCCATCCCCAGACGCTGCATCCCTGTGTTCCCCCAAAACGTGGCAGGCAGGCGTCTGTATCTGGGTGTGTCAAAGTCCAGGGTGGGCAGGCGGACTCACTGCCCTCAGAGCCTCCCTGCCTATAAGCAGGGGCGAAAGTCACATGGCGGATGTGCGGGAGAGTGGTCCCTTGCTTTTAACTCGCTACCAAAGTACATTTTCTCCTGAAAACAGCACCTTATTTAAGAGTCCAGGGACGAGTTTACTGGTGTGTAGTAGTAAGTGTTTGATGTCCACCACCAATAACTGTTTATGAAATACAGTGATGCAGTCATGCAGTTATTATTCCTGCAGCAAACATTTAGCTGAAAAGGCTATGGGGAAGATGCTGTGTGGGGTCCTGTGGGTTTAAGATGAAGGAGATGCCAGCTTCCCTCCCTTGAGGCGTGGCAGAGGCAGTCCTGTGACACATGGTGGCAGAGCAAAGGGAAAGCCAGACCCAGTAAGTGGTGAGAGCCATGTGCCCTGGCCGCAGGTGTCTGGGTGAGAATCCAGGCTCTGCTACTCGCCAGCTGTGTGGCTTCATGTGGGTCGTTTGATATCTCTGAACACCAGTAGTCTTATCTGCAAAAGCCAGAGCAATGAATGTATCCACTCAACAGATACGTTTTGGATGCCACTGTTCACCAGGCACTGTTCTAGGCTGTGGGGGTTACAGATGTGGAATCTCTGCCTGGGAACTCAGGGCAGAGAGGGACAGCAGTGAGTAGTGAGGGATCAAAGGGAGACACAAGCACGACCGCTGAGGACAGAAAAAACAGGGAGGGGACTAGGAGAGAGAATGGGGATGGGGAAAGGTGTCATTTGAGATCGTCCCCAGTCCCCCAGGGAGCACCAATCCACAGGGGCGGCAGGATGTCTGGACTAGAGGGTTCAAGAAAGTAACACCAGCACTCTGATCACATGAGCAAGGTTTAAATGACTCAATATGCACAAAGCACTTAGCACCTGGCAAGTGATCAATGCAGCTTGGTGGCTGTTAATCGTATAATTGTGACATTGGCTGGTGTCAAGGAATGCAGGCTCCTTGGGGTGGGGCTGGACACTGTCTCACTTAGCACTGTGTTCCTGGAGCTGCCGTTCTGTCAGCACCTGGAACCGGCTGTGGGTGAGCTCTGAGCATGTGCGATGGCAGCACAAACAAATGCATGAGAAGCTCTGCCCCAGGAGCATCAGAGAGGTTTTACAGGGTTAAAGACATTAGGCTTGGGGTTTCAAGGGATGAATAGGAGTTCACCAGATGGAGATGATGGAGAAAGGGATGTTCCATGACCCCAGGTGTGATTTGCTGCTTGAAACTGTATTTGGGCTAATCTGGGCCTCTGGGACTCACACTCTCCAGGTTGGGCAGGTGCCTATGGGAAGAATTAGGAGGCTGCAAAGGAGTGGAAAAGAGTAGTGGAAAATGAAGTGATAGTAGGTGTTTGGAGAAGGGAGAGCTCACATGAGGTAGTATAGTCAGCAAAAGCTTCCTGGTGGAGGTGCTCAAAGATTGGAGAGGGATTAGGAATTAGGAGGAGAAAAGACATCCAGTGTTCTTAAACATAGCCATGATCGTAAGTCAAATCAAATACAGTTACAATATTAAAAAGAAAGGAAGGAAATACTCATTATTAGAAATGCATTGCCATCTCATTATGTTGCTGCATTTTGCTATTCTCTCTGCTCTTGAGGTTTTTGATGTCTGCTGCATCTGTGAGCTTCTCCTCTAGCTCCTTATTCAGTGGCCTCACAGTCACAGTGGGAGCATTTACACCTTGGAAATTGGCCACAGCTGCACATGGAGAGCTGTTGGTTCTCCTCTGAGCAGCACGTGGCTGTCTGCATCCTGTCCCCTGGCTCCCATGTTCTCACCTTCCCCAAGTCCCACCCCTCAGCAGAGTAACTGTTGTTTATCGGACTGGTCTCTTGTCAGAGTGGAGCTGGTCCATTTCCTGAATGCTGCTTGTGCTTCATGTCCAAGCACACAGAGGCAGTGCCAGAGAGGAACACACTGGCCTTCTATTCCCATGGGAGACCTTGATGAGAGGCTTCTAATGAGAAGCCCCAAGTCTGCTGGGCCTCCAGCTCTGTGACTTCCAGTGAATCCTTCTCCTCTCTGAGCCTTGGTTTCCTCATCTACAGCATGGGACTTCCTTCACATGGAGCTCTGTGCCTGGCATGGGACTCTATTCCCTGTGCACTGTATTAAAAAATACACTAGAAAAAAAAAGCATTTACCAGGCCAACAAAACAGAGACAGTGTTTATAAATGGTCCACTAACATTTCTGGGGAGCATGGAATTGGTTCTGTGGAGCTGCTGTTTTTGGCTTTTCTGGCAAACTCCTAAGAATAATTACTTCCTGAGTATCAAGCCAAGTGTTTGCCACGTATTAGCTCTTGGGGTCCTCTCAACAAATCCCCTAGGTAGAGCCCATTGCAGCCAAAACGCCGGCCTGGGAACTAAGCAGGACAGTCCCTCCTGCCTTTGTGGCTATGGGTCTGTTTGCCTCTAAGGGCCCACTAAGGGCAGCTGGAAAGGGTTCGGTCTGTACCCTGCCCAGAGGTGCCCACCCTGCCTAGGGGTTGTGATTGTGGGGGGCTGCAGCAGCCAGGAGCAAGGGGTAATTTTGCAATCCCTCTGCCTGGAGGTACCCCTTATGGTCACAAGCACCAAGGCGTTGTAGGAGTCAGCAATGGCCCATACACAGTTTTCCTGACTTCCCCCAAACCTTCACTCACCATTTCTGCGAGCTCCTAAAAGCACTCCAACATAGGCTTGTTGTTTTTTGCCAAGATAGCAAGAGAGGAAGAGGCAGGTGGGTTGGAGCTCTGCTCTCACGTTTCTCAAGTCCTGACACCTTCCCCCTTAAGCACCTGCTCCTGCTGGCCTGAGGCTTCCCAGGTGCAGGAGCACGCCCAGCCTGCAGGCAGGACGGGCCAGGTGCTGGGGACGTAGCACCCATAGGAAGAGGGTTCTGTGCTTCTCCCACGATACCCCTGGGTTTGAGCACCAGCTCCCTGGTACTCACCTGCAGATCGGCACCCCCCAAACTGGCTCCTTCCCTTTCCTGCCCCACTTCCCCCCCAACATGGAGCTTCCTGGGATTCCCTCCCAAATGGACTATTCTACTCAGATTCTAGTCTCAGTTCTGCATTATGGTTTGAATTATGTTCCCAAAATACTCATCCAAGCCCTAACACCTCATACTTGTGAATGCGACCTTATTTGGAAATAGGTCCCTATATGTATAATTAGCTAAATTACAGTGCTGGAGTAGGGTGGGTCCTTAATCCAATTCCACCAGTGTCCTTATGAGGAGAAGAGAAGAGAGGCAGAAGCACAGACACACAGAGGGAAGGCCAAGTGAAGACAGGCAGACACTGGAATGCCACGTCTGCAAGCCCAGGAGCACCGAGGATCACCAGCAACGACCAGAAGCAGGAGTGATTTTCCCCTTAGAGCCTCAGAAGAAAAGGACCAGCCCTGCTGATACCTTGGACTCAGACATCCAGCCTCCAGGACTTTGGGGAATATGTTTCTGTTGTTTTAAGCCACCCAGGTGACTTGTACTTTGGCCCCGTCTGCTTCTGCAGATGGAGCCAGTTGGGTTCTGTGCTTACAGCCAGCAACTCTGACAGAAAGACATTTCACAGATAAGGAAATCCAGGTCACGGCAGAGAGTGAGTCACCTCTGCCCTTCTGTCTGGGGTTGGGCGAGGCCAGCGCTGTATCCCCAGAGTGCTGGGGACTCTCCCTGCTCCTTGGAGCTTGTGCAGTCACATCCCTGCAAGACTCCATCATCAGAACCACTAAGGTGCCTCCATTTCGGGGAGTAGGGGATGCTCCTGGACCCCAACGAAGCCCTGAGTCCACCTGGGTGCTGGAAAAGGGGACAGGTCATGCTACAGTGAAGACACATCAAAGCAGCTGGGCCCTAGATAGGCTTGGCCACACCTCGGAGTCCAGCTCAGAGCCTGCTGCAGACTCGCGGATGGAAGGAATGAAGAGCAGATGAGCAGCACGACTGCAGACGATGTGCAGGTGACTGCCAGGGAGCTGGGGCTCATGCCCTGGCTTTGCTCATACTCCCTGGCAAACCACTTTCTCCTCTCGGGGTCTGGGCTTCCTCTTCTGTGGTTCCAGGCCTGAAACTCCAGGTGGAAATGAGCAAGGGAAGAAGCGTCCCAGGTCCCCATGTGCCTGTAACTAGGGAGGGAGGGAAGAAGGGCAGCCCGGGACAAGTGCTCTCAGCAGTGTGTTCACTGTTTACTGCCACAAGGTGGAGGTGGCCGGACAGAAGCTTGTCACCAAGGCCACATGGCGTATGATACTCTTTGTATGGAATCTCCAGAACAGACACATCCCCAGGGGCAGGAGTGGACCAGAGGCTGTCAGGGGCTGGGGGTGGGAGCACCACTTAAGGAGAACAGCTTCTGCCTGGGGTGATGTAAAATCTTTAAAAATAGGAGGTGATGGTTGCACAGCACTGTGCATCTAATTAATGCCACTGGATGCACACTTAAAATGGTGGAAATGGAAACTAGTATACTATCAATATATATATTTTATCTCCATAATTTTTTTTTTTTTTTTTTTTGCAGTTTTTGGCTGGGGCCAGGTTTGAACCTGCCACCTCCAGTATATGGGGCTGGCACCCTACTCCTTGAGCCACAGGCGCCACCCAACCTCGATAATTTTTTTAAAAGCAGGAAATTTGACATACCTCTTAGGAAATCTTGGACAGCACATGAAGTCCCCATGAGCTGGGGGAATGATTGAAGGGACGGTGTCCCCAGCCTGGCAGGTGCTCAGCAAATTCCCACTCACAGCACCGACTCCTGGGTCACGGTGCCATCGCAGCCTCACGCTCACCTCCTTGGAGAGCCTTACCCTAAACGCACCTGTTTAGATTTCCCATAAGTGTTTT